GACAGTCAGGTCTACAGCAAGGACTTGAAGAACTAAAGCAAGACCAACAGCAAGGACAAGAGGCCATAAAGCAAGGACAGTCAGGTCTACACCAAGGACTTGAAGAACTAAAACAGGACCAACAGCAAGGGCAAGAGGCCATAAAGCAAAGACAGTCAGGTCTACAGAAAGGACAAGAGGCCATGAAGCAGGGACAGTCAGGTCTACAGCAAGGACTTGAAGAACTAAAGCAAGACCAACAGCAAGGACAAGAGGCCATAAAGCAAAGACAGTCAGGTCTACAGAAAGGACAAGAGGCCATGAAGCAGGGACAGTCAGGTCTACAGCAAGGACTTGAAGAACTAAAGCAAGACCAACAGCAAGGACAAGAGGCCATAAAGCAAAGACAGTCAGGTCTACAGAAAGGACAAGAGGCCATGAAGCAGGGACAATCAGGTCTACACCAAGGACTTGAAGAACTAAAACAGGACCAACAGCAAGGACAGGAGTCCATAAAGCAAAGACAGTCAGGTCTACAGAAAGGACAAGAGGCCATGAAGCAGGGACAATCAGGTCTACACCAAGGACTTGAAGAACTAAAACAGGACCAACAGCAAGGACAGGAGTCCATAAAGCAAAGACAGTCAGGTCTACAGAAAGGACAAGAGGCCATGAAGCAGGGACAGTTAGGTCTTCAGAAAGGACAAGAGGCTATAAAGCAAAGACAGTCAGGTCTACAGCAAGGACTTGAAGAACTAAAGCAGGGTCAACAGCAAGGAAAAGAGAAGATACTCAAAGGAATTCAAAACCTACAGAATCCATCAACATCAAAAGCCTTAGAATTGTCAAGTGAAGGTTAGTATTGTTAATGGATTACTCTATGCTATCTAAAACAGTTATATTCCTGTTTACTTATAGCTATGATATTAGAAGCAGAATTCCTATTGGTGATGGTACTAAAATGGGCGTATTTACAAATTAATTATTACCAACAGCATCGTAAAGATGACGCAGTACAGAAAAACACTTTTAAAAAGATATTTCTTGCTTCTAGCGTAAACTGAACAGCAAAAACTAACGCAAGGAAGTTTTGAAGCATTTCGACCTTTCGACGCTATACGGCGTCTATACCTTGCTATAAAATGTTAGGGTATTATTTGAATTCTTCAAGTATATTCGAGAGCAGTTAATCACAGCAATAATCTTACATTTAAGTGCTTGCTTTGTAAACATTCCGCCTCCAGTGACTGCTCGAGCATTTGAAGACACGTGAGATTTTGTCGTTGCAGTTTTGCTTCTGCCTCCTCCATATCCCACCCTACACTTATAGCTTCTGCAGCTACTTTAGCACCTCTGTTTGCAATGAACAGGGCAAGGTCGTCTTTTCCCGCCTTTTTCTGTTGGTTAGCTAGCGCTAATAGTTCAAGGCGAGTCTTGATGCCTTTCCTTACAACCAGCTGGGAAACATCAAAGATGCTAAGTCTCTTCTTTTTGTTTTGCTTKGACGACTTTTTACGCATTGACGTGTTGGCCTTGCTGTTCGTTAATTCTGGATGGCCGGGTGATTGCTCAAAAGAAGCATCCTGCTTGGTTGTGTATTTCCAGGCACTGTGTAGTAATTGGCATGAACGATTGAAAAATTGACTTTTATACCATATCTGCTGTCTAGCCATCTGCGTACTGACAACCATCTCCGTGCTTTACTTAATTTTACAGCCATGTGATAGTGGAAACCATTCGTTTTGTGAGGGCTCTTTACTGCACACCCATTGAGTGACAATGTTTGCTTTGTCGCTGGTCTTTACGAAGGCTTCAACGACCACTTGGGCAAACTCTTCTCTGCTTCCTACAATAGTTGAGTCGGCTTGACTGTACGTTAATAAGTATACTGTACGCACTTGACGGGAATGCAAGCTCGGTGGGTTTTCCTCTGTTGGTTTTCCCGTGACTACATTGCCATCAACGCTACTGTCATTCTTTGTATTAATTTGTGCACATTCATCAGACATCGAAGACATTTTGAATTAATCGTTTTTATAGGATATCTAATAGCGGTTAACGAATGCTAATTGTAGACATACATGTATAGATTGTAGACTTGATACGTGAAGTCATTGACAGATATATAGACGTCAAACATTTTCACTCTATTGTTCTAATTCCTCGTCAAAAAATAACGTTTCAATTAAGAGTACTTGTGCGTTTAATGCTAGGTACACTCTCCTAGGGTTTAAGTAATTGATTTAACTATAATCTTTCTAATTTGAACTAATTATATTTAAGAAATATAAAACGGCGCGCGTGTCTCTGTCCTCTGATATAAACACAAGCTTAGGAACACGAGCGTAGAGAGTGTTTCTCTTGCTTCTCGAGTGTTTTTCAACTCCCACCGTGTTTATATCAGAAGACAGAGACACAAGCGGCCGTTTTACATTTCTTTTATAAAAATTTTCGAGCGAAAAGAAAATTTTGCCGGTATAAAGCCGTGTCTCTGTCCTCTGATATAAACACGGTCGTCAGCCAATCAGAGCGCGCGTTATATATCAAAAATTTTATAATTAACTATAAAAGCGATTTGTTAGCGTTACAAGGATGTCTTAGTGTCAACGATTAACACGATTTTTTCTAAGTGCCTAATGGCATTCTCTGCGCATGATCAAAGCTTCTCCCAGGGACTCAGACAGCTCTCGACAAAAATATTCGAACATCTAACTGCGATATTATCCCCCCACCCCTGTTTCAAAGTTGGTTCTCATCTTGTCAGCCACATGCTTCTTTTTAAGAATCCCGCTTTGTAACAGGGGAGTAGGGGTGTTCAAAAACATTTTGTCGAGAGCCGGGGGTTATTTGGGAGGGGTTTTACGTGATCAAGAAACGGATGTACACAGGCTATTATGTTATGAATTCCGCTTTACCTATTTAATCATTTTTAACTTACAATGGTTTATTTTGTAAGCTTAAAAAGAAAATTCAGTAAAATACTGCACTAAAAATATAACCAACCCAATGTTTCTTTGTCAGATGTGGAAGAGTACTCCATCAAACTCAGGGAAGCGATAACAATGCAAACAGATTGGCTACCAAAAGGACCCGATCAATCAAAACTGAAAACTGACGATATTTTTACTAAACTGACCATTTATCATGGGAGAAAAGAATGTCTACAGCAAACAGCTCCAGAAGACCAATACCCGCTTAAAACAGCAACTGAACTTAAGCAATGCTCTGATATTTTTGTTGGCGAAGACGAAGAAGGAGATCCAAAGTCAATTTTGGTTTCTGGAGAACCAGGTATTGGAAAAACTTTGTTCTCGCAGAAACTCGTCAGAGACTGGTCAACAAATTGCATATCGATCCATAACATTAGGTTTACTTACCTGATAACGTTTAAGCAACTTGTCATGCTTGGCAACGAAGAGCTTACCCTCAGAGAACTGCTTAATCGCTCCCCGGTGTTGAACGAAAGAACCATGATAGATGAGAAAGTGATGGCACACATCGCTCAGCACTCAGACCAGTTATTTATCATTTTTGATGGATATGATGAATACAAAGATCGCAGCAAAATGTTAATTTTTGAAAGCGGCCAATTTACCAATGATGTCGAAACCAAGATGCCGGGAGCTGCTCTGATCAGCAAACTAATCCAAAAACACATCTTGCGCGATTCAGTCATCATGATAACTTCAAGACCGGGCGAAGCCGACGAGTTGGACAAAAAACTCCACTTTGACAGATTTGTGAACATTGACGGTTTCTCTGAATTGCTGGTTCTTGAATATGTTAAGAAGTATTTTAAGTCTAAATCAGAAGACGTAAAAAATATGGCCATGGAGAAAGTCAAAGGAAGCGCACATTTCATGTCATTTGGTCGCGTCCCTCTGAGGTGTTTCCTGATGTGCGTGGTCATCGAGTATGAAATCCAAAATAATATTACTCGAGATAATTCAATTCCTCTAAAACTTACACAATTTTATTGTAAAGTTATTAGAGGTCTAGAGAAAAATAATAGGGAAATCCGTAGTTTAGATGAAAAAGCTTCCTTGTTAGCTGTTGAGAAAACTCTCGACAGTTTTTCTAAACTAGCAGCACAGTTAGATGAACAAAATCGTTTTACTTTTACTCAAAAGGACTTAGAAAAGCTAGAATTACCAGAAGCTGAAATGTCTTACCTTAAATCTAGTAGTTTAATATTTTGTTATCCTGTTGCCAGTGATTCTCCATTCCCACAAACAACTCTCGAGTATGGTTTCGCCCATTTGACCATTCAAGAGTTTTTTGTTGCTCGTCATTTGGTGAAGAAGCGTGCAATGGCAGCTCGAGAAACCTCTGAAATGGTGCACATATTCACGAGTGGTTTGTTGGGTTTAGATAAGGATCACAACAACGATAAAAGTATGTCGAAAGTACTAAAGTGTGTATGTAGACAAGTGAAGAATTATTGGAGACGACGCCTTGTGTTATTGCGCTGCCTTCACGAGTATGGCCAAGAAAAAGAATTCACAAGACAAGAACTGACTACAAACCGTGACTACAGATACTGGTTTAGCGATGGGTTGATTAGATTACATGGTGTAACCGATACGGACTGTGATGCACTCGCTATGTTAGTAGAATCAATTGCTACATCGATATCATCACCACCACACAGATTGCACAGTACTGCTTTGTTATGGTTTACTTGTTTCAAGTCATCGCCACGGCCAAACACATTGTCCATTGGTGTCTCACAGATAACCATTACTGGGTTAAAGAGTTTGCTGTCATCTCTTATTCATCCAGAATGCACAATCACTGGACTGGGGCTGTGGAATTGTGGCTTGACTGATGAATGCGCTGAGTGTTTGAGTAACTGTTTACCCGACACAAGCATAACCGAGCTTGACCTGCGTGCTAATGAAATATCTAACAAAGGAGTGCATCACGTTATCCATCATTTACCAAATAATCTAACCTATTTAAACCTGTCTTTTAATCGGGTATCTGCAGAAGTTAGTGAGAGCAGTAAGCAATTTTGTCGTGATAATCATCCAGGACTTCGGTTAGAGATATAGATAATTCAATGTCAGAAATGTGGGTTTGTACTGACTGACAAATAATTCAACTCAACAAATTCATATGGGAACTGTTTATTAAAAACGTAATCTGCTGTCTACAATAACTTCAAGCGGTAATTTCATTTTCTTTGTACATATAAGCTTAAATATCTAATCAAATTGTAAGGTTGGAAGACATTTTTGGATATTTCGTTGATTCAAAATCAATCCTTTTTCCATTAGCTAGTTTTGTTCAAATACCTTTGTTTTCAAAGAGTTGTTCAGAAGTGAGGAATGACTTTTTTTCACTTTAGCTAGATTTAAATAATAATCATTTTCAGACTTAATTGTACAGTTTTTGTAAAAGTGTAAAAAAGTATAACTATTTGTAGTTTGGTATTTTTAGGCTTCAATAAAATTTGATGAATTTTGATATGTCTTTTTTGTCGTTTTCTTCAGGAAAATTACAGTCATGACAGAGTTCTACTATTTTGTTGAAAAATGGAAAATATTTTACTGTCATGATTAATAAAATACATGGAAAAATTTGACTTTTACACTTTTTGCGACCCGTTCGGTTCATCTCAACTTGAAGTTCTGGGAACGAGGTTGCGGTGTTTCTCTTTTAAATTCTTTTATTAAGAACTGTTTTTGAGATTGTAATTTGTTATGAACTGCTCATACTAGCAGCCAGCTCTTACACACTATCTGTGCATTGAACTAATTTACAGTAGTTAAACATTTAATTTAGGTCCGCATTATGAAAAAACTTGGCAGTGAAACCACTCGTTACGCTCGTGGTTCCACTTGAGTTTTGATAATTTTCTGACGTCATTTTTATTGACGATAAGCGTACAGACCATATAGAGAAGCGATTTCGATTTGTTAATTATTCAAACAGTTTATCATATTTTGTTTTATTACAATTATAACTATTATTATATAATTATTTATTATTATTATTTTTTATTATTGTAAAAAGCATTGATCCCTTGATTTAATGAGCAGTGATTTATAAAACGGACAATCATTTTACAGTTGTTGGCTTTTTTCACTAAAATTTGAGAACATTTAAGTTTTTATTACAATATTTATTATTTATATATTATTAAATAATTGTGGTCATATTTCGCTTAAAATATTATTATTATGTACAAGGATGAAAATATATAGATAGTGTTATGAAATTAAAAACTCATAGTCGAAAACGTTTTTAATTTCATAACACTATCTATATATTTTCATCCTTGTACATAATAATAATATTAAATAATTATTATGTATTTTATCTAGATAACATTTTATGTTTGACTTTGCTATCCGTAATGATTTTTACTAAAGTCTTATTCAGACTATTTATCATATT